CACACTGAAGATAGTACTGTGAATGTGAGCTATAACTCTGGTGAAAATAATTGTGTTACCATATACATAACGTTAGCAATTAAATTACGATATCTTTTTGGATCTTTTACCATTTAAACACCAATTAGCAATCACAACATATGCATTGATGAGAACTGAAAAGCCTTTTAGTGGCCTTTCTCTCCCAAAGAGTTTGCCCTAGCCGCATCCCTTATACATCTCATCTAGTACCTCTCCGGTCATCGAGAGAAGGTTTTGTTTTATCATATTGTTCTTCATTACGGAACTGGTTGAAGGAGTCTGTATGAGGCATTTCTTTCTCGGCGAGATTGGACTGTCGGACGAAGCAGATCGACGGCTACATTTCATTGGAAGGGCCTAGGAAAGATTTCTCTTCAGATCCGAAACTGTTTCAAGATGGCGTTGGGATTTTGCGGTGAAGTTTACTACTGGGTTCGACGAGGGATTCCCTAGCTGCGGAAGCGTTTACGGCGGTCTGGTTGTGGGTGGCGGAGTTCGAAATGTTTTCCGTTTCAAAGGAAGATGTTTGTAAGGACGGTGGATCTAACACGGTGGTGGAGGTTTCTGGTCTTCTTGTTCTGGTCGTGGTCTATGTGGCCGGATATAGATCTGTCGAGAGAAGAAGGTGGAGTCGGGCTTATTCAGACACCGTCACTGTAGTGGAGTCGGTTCTCGCTACGGGTAGATCAGAAAAGAAGAGGCACTACAAAACCCTTTTCTTGCAACCGTCGGCGACTGTCGGAGTTGAGACACCGACGATTAGGTTTAACCAGAAATGCAATCTATTTTTTTTGGTTATATTTGTACCGATTTCTGTGTGTAAACCGGTTCTGTCCCCGGTCTGGGTCGGATGATTATAATAATAAAAATAAAAAAAAAAACATATGCATTTGTACGTCAGTACATGTGGTGGAAAAGACACAAACAAAGGGTCCACAAAAAGACGCAAGCCACAAGTTTGGAGACAAGAAAATTACTCTCACGTACGTATTTACAATCAGTCCAACATGGGAAAGAAAAAGCCCAGATATTTAAATGCATAATTCATTTAAAGCCCAGAAAGGAAAAAACTGTCTCAAAACAGAGAGAGGTGGTGGGTCAATGGGTCATGTAAGACAAAGACATGAAAAAAGGAACCCATATATTTGAATGCCATAATACAAAAAACAAAAGAAAAGTATGCTATTCAGTTCAGTTACTTTGACAAATTTGAAGAGTGTTAAATATAAGACCATAAGTTTATATCGAAATTGATTAGCATTATGCCTCTTATCATCAAAAGTCTTAAGAGGTTTTGAGTTTGACGTGGTATACGTAGTTCAGTTAGACTCCATGAATAAATTATGTTTTGATTCATCAGTATATGATTCATGAAGAACTTTCGTTATTATCTCAATGACTCAATCATAGACAAAGGTTAGAGTGTTTCTTCAAATCTAAGAATATTTTGTCCAGAATATATCAGTTTACAATGCTATCTTGTAAATTTGTTATATATATTTCGTATAGGTAGATTATAATTTTTATTCCTAAGAAAATAAAGATACCCAGCCTGAATTTTATATATTGTATGTTATAAACTTGTAGTCGTACTCATACAATCACACATGATGTCACTGACGAATGGGATTTTCTGGTCATGTGGTGTGGATAGAATGTAAAGGAATTCTAAAATATTATATGATATATAAAACCAGAAACAATGTTCTTTTTAATCATTTAAGTATTATGAACGAGTAACACACAAAAAGAGAGTATACATATGAATGCTTTCTCAATAGCCTGTAGTGAGATGCCTAAACGGCTAAACTATATGCTCGTAATTTCTCCAAATCTATAAATTTCATAATTTGGGGCTATATCACTTTCATTATAACATACTATTTTAATATCATCAAAAGGGAGACTGAAAAATTCAAAGTGGGAATGCACCTATGACTATGAGTGGTTTTCATAGCATGGCAGGGTCACATTTACCGCACATATTTTAAATTCCTTCCTAAATAAATAAAGATTCCAAACTCCATCAAAGCTCCCACGACAGCTAAAGAAAGAAGACAGAGACAATTGGTCTTTCACAAATATAAAAACATGTTCTAAGACATCTAAAACAGAAGAGAGAGCCATCTTTAACAAATATGAAAACTTACGAGGGAACAATTGAAAGGGGTAGAAAGAAATCACATTTTCTTACGAAACTTTATGGTATTATCTATGAAGACATAAATCATTTATCTCTGAAGAATAAAAATATGCATCGTCATTTTTGTCAATTTCCGCGATAGATATCTATAAAATTAAAAAATATGGTTATAAGTTTTCTTTTAACAACGGCATATATAAGACAATTTTCTCAAATTTTTGTGGAAGGTGTAATCGAACAAGCGTCTCATATATAATTCTAGTTAATTAGTTACAGCGGGTTGATATAACATATTTAATTTGCGAATCATTTAAAAGTTGCAAAGGTTTTATAAAGATCACTAGATTAAGGACTCGCATATTGTGAGAGGCAAGACTAGCACAATTAGATTTGTAAGGGTTTCAAGAGGAAGCAGAGATTTTTAAGTTAAGCTACGAAAGAAAACGATGAGCAAAGAGAAACGTTTGTTATTGCTGTGTATGCTTTTGAGAACAAAATTGCGGATACCCTTTACAATGGTTTGTACATTGATATATATAGTGTTCCTAAGTCGGCCAAGTTCCTCCCTAAAAGATTATGTCAAGTTTCCTAAGTCTTCGCGGATTTTCTTTTCGTCTATGTCGATTGCGCCGAAGTGGGCTTTGCACCTGGACTGGGCTTCAGCGTTGAGACTTCAAACTCTCGCGGTCGTTACGACGTCGCTTCGTAGCTGCTATGTTTATCTTCTAGAGACATTCGGGCTTGTCCTCTCAACTGGCTTCGGGCCGAAACCCAACATCGAAGGTCTTCGGATCTTTCCTACGAAACGGAGATGGGGACTCTCCCGTGGAGCGAAGGCAGGATCTCACCTGCGAGGTGAAGACAAGGGTCTTTGGTGACCATTATCGCCAGAGACTTCGGCGGCAATGAAGCAGAGTCATCGGCGGCCCTTGTGCTGATGCTCCCTTTTGCATGCGTAAAAGACTCAGAAGACTTCGCCTCGCAGCGCGAAGAAGAGTTAGGATTGGAGAAGACTTGTCTCATGGCTGAAAGTGACTTAGGAACCATACAATCTCTAGATGTTAGCGTAACTCGGTGTACGCTTGTTGTGTTAGTCAAACTTTGAACATTAACGTTGAGCGGGTGAAATCCGACCCCAACACATATATGCGGGTTTTGTAATTTAATCTCTTATAAACTTGCG